GGAATGTCATACATTTTTGGATATTAACACATGTACCATGAACCCATAATGATATGGTTTGTCAGGGGGGCACAGTTATGAAATGCGGTATGCACCTTGAGGGACTTTAGTCAGTTCGATGTGTATGTTCAGCGCAATCGTAAAACTTGCTCATGTACATGTACAGTACGTACATATACAGGTATTGTGCTCCATCCTGATTTGACATACCTTTGAATAAAATCCATCATTCTGAAACCATTGAACAATGAATATGTGCAAGTTGATCACTGGATTATGCTGAACATGTAGGACTTACATAAACTTTGTTAATCGCTGTTTTCATCATCCATCATTTGGACATAAGGTGACCATATCGAAATGTTAAAATTAGGCCATTTGTAGAGTTCAAGTTTCTCGGGATATGTCATGTATGTCAGTGCAAATTCAGAGCTAATCTCAGTGAGCTCTGTTCCCCTAACATCACTGTCCTGACTTAGCCCAGAAAGTGCAGACAAAAACTTGCAGTTGAGAATGTTTTGTAATACGCATACTTTTGCCTACCAGACCCTGTTCCAGCACTTCACCCATCCAGCTTCCAAACCCAGATGCCCGCTGACTATGTGTAGCTGTTAGGCTCGGTGCACCCTGAAGTGTGATGAATGTAGGGTATTCATGTCGAAGAAAGTTCTTTTCCTGTGCCACTGCCTAGCGGTTTTATTCATGCACACCCAGGAATGGAGAGAAGTAAAATGCGGGAAGCCGGATGGCATAGTATGCATGCACTAAATAAGATAGTCCCTAATTTATATATCACAGCATCCCCACTCTTTTGAAAGTACAATTTCAAGAAGGTTGTCTATGAGTTTCTGAAGCTTGAAATTTACTTTAATTTCTATTCTAGGCAATGCAATGTCTCTATGAATAACCTGTGATATGAAAGCGGTACATAACAATCAAGCCCCATCTGGTTTCTGGTAAAAGTATATATGATGAATGTAATATCAAGTTGGTTATCATGTATGATGCTTTGCAAATCTAACCATAATAACCTAAAAAGAGCGTCCTAGGCCGCACTGTGATGCATCAACCTCTAGGACTGTTTCAACCTCTGGGTCATAGTATTGTAAGCAGGTGTCTGCGGCTATGAGTGCTTCAGTGCAACAAACTCTGCCTGATGATCCTCTTGCCATATGAAGGGGATATTTTTCTTGAGGAGGTCTCTGAGGGACGCTGCTTTGTCTCCCAGGTTTGGAATGTATGGAGATACGTATGTGATTATCCCCAGAAACTTCTGCAAGTCCTC